ATTTCTTTTTTTTTTTTTTTTTTCTTTTTATGTCCAGGCATAATTCATGCTGAAGGTTGTAGTCTTTTACCTTTATCAGTCAATACTCCAAGTCTACTGTCCTATAGGGTCGCTCTGAGTCAGAATTGACTTGACAGCAACAGGTCTTTTTTTTTTTTTTTTTTTGGATCTTTTTGAAGTTTGTTTTGCACTCTGTCTTCCATGTTAGAAGCTTTCTTCGGATATTTGGAAATCCTTGGCTGCCTCTCTTGACAAAGAGTTGGGATCTAAAAAGCTTGTTGGATGTTCTGAGTGTGTGAATGAGGGTCGTTGACTTGGACTTCACTGTAGGGTGATCTGGGTGGGCTGTTTGGTTGCACCTGTCCTGTCAGTAGATTTAGAGCTTTACTTTTTGGCTAATCACATTTCTCATAGAAGAACCTATATATTCTGCCTGCAGAGGCCAGGTCTGGCTGCTAGGTGCTTAGAGTCAAATATGGGAAGAGAGGGGGTGGAGCACTCCTCTGTACTTAGCATTTGGTACTCATATACTGTCTCTAATTGCCCTGGTGGTGGCGGCGGCAGCAGCAGTGGCTGTGGTTTTATAAAATGCCCAAGCTTCACCTGGTCCTGCTCTCCTCCAGTCCAGGAGACATCTGTTAAATTCTCTGCCTCCAGCCCTCTGTCATGGTCGGAGAGGGACATCACCAGCAGCAAAGAGTACAGGAGAAAAATGCTTCCTGCTGAAGTCTTTGCCATACATATCCTCCTTATGTTAGCCCCTCTCCCCTTCATTCCCAGTTCAGGAGGAGTTTGGTGCTGCCTTTTTACTCAGCTTTTTATTTTTTTTTCTCACTACTGGCTTGCAATTTGGCCTTTTCTGTTCTGCTAACTAAAAAACTTGGTTATTACTTACCCATCCATCGGTTTTCTAGCTTCCAAAATTTTGTTGCTGTGTCTCTTCTGTTTTTCTTACGCTCATGGATTTCTCAAAAATACCGTTTTTTTTTTTTTTTTTTTTTTTTTAAATAGAATATGTGGAGAGAGTGAAGTTAGATGCCTCTGTTCAGTCTGATGCCTTTTTCCCCAGAGGTCCTCTCTTCATTCTCTCATAGATGTCTCTTACAAAAAGTCTTTATTAAAATATGGTCACATATTTAATAGACTCAATTTTTTTTTGTCTTGGTTAAGAAATTCTTCCCTACTGTGCTATCACAAAGATTGTCTTGTAGTACCTCACATCAGGTATCTGGCTTTCACTTTTAAGTATGAGAGACCGTTGTTTCTCTGTTGGCGTGCAGTGCCAGCACAGCCGCCACTCATGCGAGTCTCTCTGGGCTCTGGGCTCTAGACTCGGGGTACATCTGCCGGTACTAGACAGCTTTAGGATAGTGCTCACACTGCTGAGCATGTCCTTCCCACCTTGATCATCGGAGACTCTGAAGTCAGAACCGGGCTGAAATTCCAGTTCTGCCTCTTTATGGCTCTGTGATCTGGGGCAAAGTATCTAACCTCTTAGTGTCCCCATCTGTAAAATAAGGCATTGCAAACTTTGGCTTGGAAAAAGGATTCTTTAAGAATCACTAGTAAGCTACAGATTTCATTTTCTGGTTCAATTACTTTATATTCAGCTCTTTTGTATCTGGGTACAAAAGACAGTGCTGTTATCCTGGATTAGTGGAAAGACTAGGGAAGAGAGAAGTGTTTTTAAACAGAACTGATATGCTTGCATCTTTTTTTTTTTTTTTTTAAAAAAAAAAAAAAAAGGACTGTCTAGGTGTTCCAGGCATTCTGTAAATCTCTTGAAAGGGTTAAGTCAAGCAGATCTTAAGTAAACTATAAACTATGCCATTTTATGTGTTTTGTGTTTGTTTCATCATAGGATATATGATTGGATGCCTGAACAGCCAAATATATTCCAAGTGGAGCAGCTGGAACGCCTGAAGCAAGAATTACCAGAGCTTAAGAGCTGTTTGTGCCCCACTGTTAGCCGCTTTGCTCCCTCCTCTTTGTGTGGAGACCCTGATATCCGCATGGATGCCAATGGCATCGACAACGCGGAGAATGCTTAGTTTTTATTGCACAGAGGCCATTTGAGGGCATGCACCACTATTCTGGGTATTCACTTTTCATCACTGAGCATTGTTTATCTATGCTTTTTGGGTTTCTCAGTCCAATGAAGCAATAATGACGTATTTTACTGTTTCACTACAGTTCTTGGTAGAATTTCAAGTATGCTATTTAAATCACTTGGCCAGGTATAATTACCAGTCAGTCTCTTTACAATGAGAAGATTTATTGATTGGTAAATATTTTAAACTAAAAACATAAACCTACAGTGTTAAACAAATGCTCATTAATAGCATAACTCTTTGAAATTAAATATATGACTATCTCATATTTTCACTTGTTACAGCTTTTCATTTAATCAGGTCTGAAATCTTTAGCACTTGAGGAAAATGACTATGCATAATTATACCTGACCATGGAAAAAAAAAAGTACCTCAAATGCATGCATTTGCACTAGTGATTCCAACTGCACAAATCTTTGTGCCATCTGTGTACATATGTATTTTTACATGGATTGACATGCACATTTTCCTTCAGTATGAACCTTGAGATGCTGCCATTTCCCACTTAACCAAACCAATGCCTGTGTAAACAGTCTGGAAGTGAACCTTGAACACTTGTTTCTTCACAAGTCTTTCAAAAGTTGTTTTGCATAAATGTTAAAGTTTCAAAATGCCGCAGGGTAATTTAATGTATAAAATAATAGAGGAAGTATGTGTTGCATAGTTAGAGTAGATCACATGTATAAATTATATTCAATGCATGCTTCAGGGTTTAAGCATGAGATTATACACGTTTACTTAAGTCCTTGCATCTGTGGTGCTAGGTGAGTGAGAAGGTGTCAAGGACTGAAAATATTTTGTTGCCTGAAAAAAAAAAGCCTGTTTGTAGGCATTTTAAATATGCTTATTTTAAGTGTCTCTCACTACCTATTACACACCGTTGCTTTGTGGATTTGTATGTTTGTGTTGTACAGTAGTTAAATCTCCATGCAGAGAAATAAATATCCTGAATTCTCATATTAGTATTCTTTATTGGTTAATGTATATCATGCATGTAATTTATTTAGAAATGTAGAAGATCCTACTAAATGTATATGCATGTTTTTTAAGATTATACTAAGGTTTCTTTCATTAGAAGCAGATTGTTTTGACATAACTGTAACTTAAAAATGTATGTTAAATAAAATGATAGATTTATTTTCTTCATTATAAAATGAGATTTTGAGAAGTTACTTTTATAGAATCAGTTTTATAATATTGTTAGGAAAAATTGAAATTTAGCGTCTAGCCTAAAGAGATGGCTTATCTGCATCTGCATTTTACTGCATGTTATTTGCTAGGCAGTTTATACATGTCTTGACAAATTTGGGTAGTAGCTGAGAACCTAAGACTTGAAATTATACATTGTATCTTTTTTATTTTTTGAGCTAAGCAGTGCAATTTTGGTCAGATCTTAATCGTGTCAAGATAGGCCTTGAAATCGTACGGTATTGTATTGGTAACACTGATATTTAATGGAAAATAGTTTAGAAAATGGAGTATTCTGCAAGGGTTCTGTATGCTCTGCCCACATTGAGATTTTCCAGCATTTTGGTGTGAATTAGACACTTTTAGAAAACTCTTGAAAAAGTATGTTTTCCTCATCTGCAGATCCTTGTACAATACAGTCACCATTATGTACGGTAATTTGATTGGCCATATGTATGTGTTTCTAGTCCTGTTCCTGTCCCCTATGCCCTTCCAGTTCCAGCTCCATTTTGAAGAATTAAGGGTAGAGGGGAAGCAGATCATAAAGGGAAAAAAAGGAGAAAACAGAGGGTGAGGAAAAGGAGGTGTGTTGGGTGCTCTTGAACAGTTTATATTTACTGAGAAGAGCTTTACAATAACTGCTTAAAATATAGACAGAAGAACCTCCTTGCTCACTTCCTTTTCTATCTCTACCTGCCTATAAGACCCAGTGCTAGTAGATGATTGTAACAAGCATTTTTACAGGACAAGTCCAGGCTCTGTGTCGCTAGCCACTGCCCTAAACACTCAACTCCAGCTACACTGTACCCAGAAGTCCTCTCTTCCCCATGGACACTTTCTCCCTGCCAAGCTCCCATTTCTGCTTGAGTCATCAGTTTTGTCTCTTGAGCCCTTGCCGAAGCTCCTTCAGAAGGGATGAATCAGTGTTTTACTCTATAGCATTATGTTCGTACCTTGATCACGTCATGCGTCACAGTACCTTCTACATAGGCATAGTTGATGTGTGTCACATCCACCAGGCTGTGGGCTCTCCAAGAGCAGGAGCCTTGTCTTATTTATTTTTAGTTCCACAATACCTGGAACATAGTAGAAAATAAGTGTTGGAATGATTGAGATAATCTAATTTGTATGAAATGTCCTTTTGAATTAAGAGATTTAGTCATGTTTAGTGAGAATGTAAGCTTTGAATTGGTTTACGTTTTGATCATTGGGGTTGTTTATTGACATCAATTTTGAAATGTAGAGGTATAATGTTAAATTTTGTATTTTTCTGAAAATTGACTGAAATATTTGATAAAATGCCACCACTCTGATATTTTCTATCCTCTGAAATTATGTACTGTAACTGACTGGGTGTCAACGTGAAGAACACAGCTCACTCCTGTGTCAGTAGTGCCTGAGGGCTACCACAGCTGGCCTCCTGCCACCCCATTTACCTCACTGCCATTGTTCCCTGTAACACTCATTTTTTCTCTCTTCTAAGCCCCATGCTTAGGCCTACCTCAGAACTGCTTTCCTTATCTGAAACACCTTCCTCTGCCATCCTTCAGTGTCCAGCTCAGGTACCACCATCTCCATAAAACTTCCTTCAGCTTTTGATCAGTTTCATGATGTTTTAAGATGTAAACAAATGCAGACAGCCTCTAAGTTGCACTACTTCATTTTGCAGCTGAGGTAATAAACCCAGAGAGGTTAAGTGACTTACCAGGTTGGGACTAGATTCTTGAGTTTTGTGACTTGTAATCTGGTATTCTTAAACTCTGTTGCCTTCGGAATTCTTGTGGCATTTGTTAGCATATGCTTTCTTATAGTCCAACTTTTTATGTGGCTGTTGTATTTCCCTAATAAGATTGTAAGCCCCTTAAGGGCAGGAACAACTTTGCATTTCTGGCACTACTGCAGTGCTCTAGACTTAGTTATAAACTAGGTAAATAAATGGTGGTGGCAATGATCCTAGTTTCCTAACTCAGATTGTTTGACAGTATACATGCAATTTTGCATGGCATGCTTGGCCATATTGTCTGGAGTGTGTGCATGTGCATGTGTGCATGTTTGCATGTGGGGTTCTCACTTGTGCCCTGGTTGCTTGGAGTCACATATTTGATGGGTTACCCTAGCCAATGAGGAGAATGATGGAAGAATAGTGGTTATTATTCCACTGATTCAAGTGGAAGATATGATACAGCTTTTCCCCAGGTGTGGTTGCCCCTTCCTGGGCAATATACCTAAATTCTACCACTGGTTGACTAATCATGAAGAAGGTGCTCCCTTGGATAGGACTTGCTTGACCCATGGGAGAGGCCACCTCATTAGTCCTGGTAGACAGTCATTCCCCTTGCTTCCTCTTCACAGCTGTGACTAAATTTTGTCGGTCACTTAACTGCTGGTTTGATATTCTAGGTTGGATAATGGAGTCCTGTTAATTTAGATTTAGATGCAATTGATTTACTTTGCGATTTGGGTTTGAGCCATGCAGTTTTGGGGTTGAAAGCAAAGTATGCATATTACTTAGAAATATTGCATCATTTTTGTGTTCATGATTAGAAGTTCATTCATATTACCTCTTAATGGGCTTGTATAGTTTTAGAAGTATATTTGAAATGTTAAATAATGTAAGAGGGTATATGATTAAGGCCATACATGTATGTGTATGTGTTGGGGGAGTTAAGAAGAGATCGTGGAAAACCTTCACGGAGCTCTCAAGCCAGTGCAGAAAGGGGTAGATGTCAGCGTAGTTGTGAAACCAGTTTGGGGCACAGCCTGTGTAAACTCTTGATGCCAGGGTAGTATTTGCGGTGCGTTCAGGGGAATGAAGGAGCCGCCATGACAACGGAGATGAGGTGATGAATGCCAGATAGAGGCTTTGTATCCTTGGAGGAGATGAAGATTAACAATTTTAAAGAAGGGAAGTGACATGAAAGACACATGTTTAAAAATAAGAGAAAAGTGGTGCTAGTACAGGAATAATACAAGGAAAAGTGCTGAGATTAATTTGTCACCTCCTAAATTGGTCCAGGTGTGCCTCTACCTTTTCTGATGGAGAACAGAAATATGGATGGGATAAGTGAACTTAGGAAATTACTTTCAAAGTCAAGCTGTATAATTTTGCAGGAAGAAAGCAATACAAGCTTAGCAAAGGTTCAGTGGTAACCCATGGTTTCAAATGCCATTTATAGATAATTGCCAAGTATCTCTCTTCAGCCCAGAAACTCCAGATTCATACATCTAGCTGTCTGTCCGTATCTCCACTTGGAAGTCTTCTGGGCATCTCACACTTTAATGTACCTCAGCAAAGTTTGTTCTACCTCCTTCCCTCCCTCTACCACCAAATCTGCTTGTATATCCCCTGTAATTGGTAACCTAGGAGTCTTCCATGATTTTTCTCTTACTGAAACCATGTGATTATTATAGCTTTACATTATATCTGATTGGGTGACTGCCCAGTTGTTCTTTTTCAAAGTTTTTTTTAATTCATTTTCTTATGTTTAATAACTTGAGAATCATCAAATGCCAAAAGAAATTCTCTTGGGATTTAGATAGGTGTTTGATTGATTTTCTAGGTTAATGTGTGGGAAGGATTAACATTTTAAGAATAAGTTTCTATCCACAAGACAGTATGTATCTCCGTTTATTCAGTATGTTTATGTCCTCCAGTAAAATAAGGAAGGAAAATTCTGAATAAATGACACAGCCACTTACCTCGATTTTTCGGTTAGGTGTTGTATGTTTTTTTAAGTCCCTGGGTGGTGCCAACGGTTAAGCACTCAGCAAATACCCGAAAGGTTGGCGGTTTGAATCCACCCAGAGTTGTCTTGGAAGAAAGGCTTTTGGCGATTTACTTCCAAAAGTCACAGCCATTGAAAACCCTGTGGAGCACAGTTCTACTCTGAAACACACGGGTAGCCATGAGTCAGAATCAGCTTAGCAGCAAATGGTTTTGTATGTTTTTTAAGTTTATTCTTATATGTAAACTGCTTGTGAATAGATTTTTGTTTGGTTTTATTTCCATTACATTTCCTTAAATACTTTTCTTCTGCACCAATAATAAGCTTTTTTTTTTTTTTTTTGGTCCATTGGTCTAATATCTGGCTACCTCGATAAACTTATTAATGAAAATTGTTTGTCATTAAGTCTATGGGATTTTCTGGATAACTGATCATGTTATCTGCAGTGTGTTTTTCTTTCTGATTTTTTATAACTTTTGTCTTATTAGCTAGTCACAGTTACAGGCATCTTCATTTCTTTACTGACTGTAATGAGGATGTAAATGTGATGGCTGCTAAAGTTTCCTAGCACATGTTCATTTTAATTAATTGAATAATGTGGAGATTGTTGAAACGGCAAATGTTTTGTTACATATATATTTACCACTCTATTCCCATAACTCCCCCTTCCCTCAGATCTAAGCAACCACTAATCTACTTTCTGTCTCTATAGATTTCCCTATTCTGGACTTTCATATGATTGGAATTATATGTGATCTCTTGTGACTGGCCTCATTCACTTAGCATAATGTTTTAAAGGTTCATCCATGTTGTAGCATATATATCAGTACTTCATTCCATTTTATAGTCAAATAATATTCCACATTTTGTGTATCCATTTGTCAGCTGGTGGACATTTAGGTGGTTTCCACCTTTTGGCTCTTATAGATAATGTTGCTGTAAACACTTGAGTACAAGTTTTTGTATGGACATAAGTTTTCATTTTTCTTGGTTATGTACCTAGGAGTAGAATTGCTCATACGGTGACTGTATGTTTAATTGTTTGAGGAATTGCCATACTGTTTTCCAAAGTGGATGTACCATTTTCTGTTCCCAACAGCAATGTATGAGGGTTCAAATTTCTCCAGATCCTCACCAGCATTTACTTGACTTTTTTACTGTAACCATCTTGTTGGGTGTGAAGTTATTTTTTTGTTCTTAATCTCTTTTGGGGAGGATGGGGGTTACTTTATTTTTTTATTCGATTGGCAAAGATCTGTATCTTTTTTTAAACTAGTTTTTAGTATTATTTTTCCTATTTCATTAATTACTGCTCTTTAATTTTTTAAATTTTACTTAATTTGGATTTATTTTGTACTTTTTCTCGCTTTTTGAGTTGAATCATAAATCATAAATCTTTCTCACGTTAAATAAATTCATTTAAACTTATAAATGTTTTCCTGAGACCTGCTTCTGCTGTGTCCTGCAGGTTTTGATATTGTCATTGATTTCTAAATAGTTTTAAATTTCTCATTTGAGTTTCTTTTTAACCTTACCTCCAAATGATAAGATTCTCTTGGGTATGCTTCAATGGTTCCTTGTTTTATTGTAATCAGTAGGGCCTGTGTGATTCCTGCTCCTCAAAGTTTGTTGGCGTTTTCTTTGTGTCATATATATGAACAATTTTTCCAAATGTTAAATGGATATTTGAAAAGAATGGACATGCTTTTTTGTGTTTGGTCAAATATATTTGTGTACTCAAAATTGTTACTTTCGTACTATGTTTTTTTTTAAGCTCTTGATTTACTGAGTTCAGAAAAGGGTATATTTGTCATTTCCTATGATTATGAATTACTCCGTTCCTCCTTGTAGTTCTCGTCAATTTAGTTTTATGTGCTGTGAAGGTTTTTAGGTGCATAATGAGCTGTTAGGTTTCTGCTTCTAAGTGGATAGTGCCATTCATCAACGTGGCATGTCTCACTCTGTCCCTCCAGGCCTTGTCTTCACTTCTTCCTTTAGTGTTTTGAATATTGTACATTATACATAAATTAACAAATATGTAAATTTAACTTAAGTTTTCTCTTGGTATCTAGGTCTGATCAGTATTAGTGGCTTTATTGTTCTTCTTCCCCAAATAAAACAAGAAACTTAGCATGCATTTGTTTTCTCCCCACTCCTGTCACCAAGAGCCTTCGATGTTAAGAGTATCTGGAAATGTAGCTCCAGATTGTAGTTGATTTTGTAAATCCATAGAAGCTGTGGGCTCAGGCATAGCAGTGATTATGAGGATGGCTCAGGAACAGGCAGTGTTACATTCTGTCATACATAAGGCAGCTGTGAGTCGAAACTGACTCAATGGCACCTAACAACAGCAACATCCAAGCTTAAGCATAAGTTATACCATTTCTGTATTATCGCTGTTTATTTCACGTCATCTTATTGGATTCATTTTTGTGGGGAGGGTTGTTTTGCTGATATAAATTATGTAGTATATTTTAGATAATGTGTAGGTGATAAACTTTCTGGGATGTTTGGTTGGATAATGGATACCATATTCAGAATAGTTTTTCCTAGGAATTTCAAAGTTTATATGTTGCTAGTAAATATGATACCAGATCTTATTCTCATAGTATGTGGTTGTAAAAAGGAATGGAGAGGATATCCATATACAATATGGATCAATCTCCAGGATACATTATTAAATTTTAAAAAAAGGTGCAGGACAGGGCTTACGGGTATGCCACCTTTTATGCTAGAAATGCATGTATGTTTGCTTATATTTAAAAAAAAAAAAAAGGACAAATCAAAATGGTTTTCAATAGTGGGGAAGGAACAGGATTGAGCGAACAGTGATAGAAAGGAGACTTTTGTGAATAAGCTTTGCCATATTATTTTGAGCTTTGGAATCTTAATATTTTACATTATTAAAAAAGCCAAGTCATATAGGAGTAAAACAACCCCTAGAAATTTAAGACAAACTGAAGCTAATCAACCCAATGTATGTCATGTTGGAAGCATGACCACACAGAAAAAAAAAAAAAGAATTCAAGTAACTTTAAAATGGTGATATTATGATTGAATATCCCTAGTTGAATGTGCTTAGTAAAGTAGAGGGTCAGCAAAAGAGAGGAAGACCCTCAGTGAGATGGATTGACACAATGGCTGCAACAATTGACTCAGGCATAACAATGATTTTGAGGATGGTGCAGGACCAGGCAGTGCTTCACTGTGTTACACGTAACGGTTGCTGAGAGTTGGAACCGACTTCGATGGCACCTAACAACAACAGTTGAATATATACTAAAGAAGAAAAAATCCACAAAGAATACCTAAACTATGTTGGGTATTCATTGTTATTTGTAATGTTGGTTACTGTACTTTGAAATTATAGGCATAGTCTAGGATAAAGCAAATACGTAGTTATATTGACACTGATGTCATTATTGTGTGCCATCAAGTTAATTTCAACTCATAGCGACCCTACAGGACAGAGAGGACTGCCCTGTAAGGTTTCAGTGAAAGAGACGAGATGCAAATATGAAATCAAAGAAGCAAAAACCTTGTAATCTTAAATTTGAATTGGAAATAGCGGTATGACCTTACGATTTGTTTTCTTAAAATGAATATTTTTCCTAGTTTTTATTTTTTCACCAAAAAAACCTAGATGTAATAATCTATTAACAACAGGCACCCTTAGCACCCAAAATTGTGGCCTCTAAATACAATTTCCCACCAAAATAAGAGTTCCTTGAAGAAATGGCTGATTTCAAGTGGAACCAGTACTCTTTAGAAACACAGATGATCGTAGGTCTAGGCAGGGCATGAATGGGATGAAGGTGGGACATCTGTGCCAAACAGCAAGGAAGATATAAAAGACTTGGGATGAAGTCAAAGGAACAGAGGCACCAATGTGAAGGGACTTTAATCAACTAAGATGGTTAGAATCAATGGATAATGACTAATGGATTGGAACATCAAATATATACAAATCCCATTCATTCATAACGGTACAAAAAAAGTCCTACATTTGTCACCACTAGAAGTTGCCAGGGTACAACTTGGTTCTCTGAAAAATGATAAGTCACAGAGCAAGCATTTATCCTACCTTTATTGTGTCAACAATATTTCAGGAAAACCATGTAGTTGATAAAGAATTCCAGATAATGAAGAGGAATGATACCGTCACCAGTTGCCATCGAGCTGGTTCCAACTCATGGCTACCCCATGTGTTTCAGAGTACAACTACTCCATAGGGTTTTCACGGCTGTGGCATCTGAGTGGCTTTGAACCGCCAACCTTTTAGTTAGTAGTCAAGCACTTAACCGTTTGTACCACCCAGGGACTCCTTGTAAAGGGAGTGATAGAAAAATCATCATCTTGTAACCCTTAATGAAAAAATGGAGGTAGGCTATAATGAAGATGCTAGAATCATGAAAGGTTAATGGGGACCTTAATAATGGTGTGACCAGGTCAACACCACCTGAACCCACTGAGCAGTCTTAGTATCACCAAAAGTGGCAAGCAGGTATTATATGTCTCCCCATCAATTCTAATTGCCTATAAAGCTGAATCTGAATCTAAGCAAGCCTCTAGACCTGACTACCAACGTTCAGGACATACAGAGAAAAGAAGAGCAGACTAGATGATACCATAGGAAACAAAAAGTCAAATCCAGAGTATTCTAGAAGACGTTTGACCTAGCCTCCAACAAATCAATGACATTAAAACAAAAAGGGAGAGGAGATCGTTATAAACTAGAAATAAGAGACATAACCAAATGCAATGTATGAACCTTTCTAGATCTTAATACAATGGCCCATATTTAAAGGCACCTTTGAGATAATCGGGATGAATATGGACAGGTATTAGATGACATCAAGGAATTATTGTTGCTTTTTTTCCCTAATGTTCTTACCAGTTAAAGAAGCACGCTAAAATATTTACAAAAGAAATGACATAATGCCTTGGATTTTCTTTAAAACCAGTACAAACCGAGTGTGGCTTGGGGGGTAAATAAAACAGTGCTGGCAAAATATTGATAATTGTGATAATTGTTGTAGCTGAGTGATGACTACATATGAGTTCTTCATATGTGCTACTTCTGTGTATATGTGAAATTTTTGGTAACAAAAAGTTAAGAGGAAGAAAACGGGGCCTGAGCTCTGGTTCCAATTCTGTCGCTAACTAGTTCTGAGTGGAGCAAGTCAGTTCACCTCCCTGCACTAGTTTTCTTATCAGTAAAATCAGTTAATTGTCATGATGACCTCCCAGCTCCTAACTTCTATTGTACTTATTGTCTCTTAGGAGCCATTTAAAAAATGCCTCCCAATTATGGCCATGAAGGGAGGCATCCAGTAGTATAGGTTGTGTGTGTACTGGGAGAGAAGAAGGACTCCAGGGGGAAGTGGAATGCAGAACCAACCCAAGGTTAAAGGGTGATAATCAAGGGTTTATTTGTGTTGTCTTAGCTAACCAAGGAACTACAAAAGGGAAGAAGGATTCATCTGATGCAATTTTCTTCCTTTTTTGCAATGTATGGTGGTAATTTTTGTGCAGAAAGCTCTGTGCTGAGGGTGTGGACGGAGAATGGCTTGTTCGCCAGTTGATCCAAGGCAGAGGGAATGGCTTTCTTCAGCTAGGTTTGTGTGGCTGGCTCAGCTCAAAAGACTCTGACCCAAGGTTCTATTC